CAGCAATTAAAAACCACAAGCAAAAATAATGGAAAAAAGCAAGCAAGCAAGCAAGAAGTAAGGGAAAATTGCAGCCAACCTGACACATTACTAGGATAAAATTTTTCCTGGAAAATGGCTAGAATTCCAATTATATTCAGGTACATATGGATAGTGGAAGATTTGTAACATTATAGAATACTGAATTAGAGTCCTCGTAAGCTTCTTTATAAATTAATTTTAGTTCTGAATACCAAATCTGAGTAACTACTAACTTATTTATTAGTACCAAGTCCTTAGATAAATGAAGAAATGAAGGTTTGAGGAAATGGACTGGAATTTTTAGATCTTTGTTCTTCAGAACAAAGGACTGGAATTTTTAGATCTATTCTGGGACCACCTGGAGAAGGCTTAAGGCCTAGTATGGGCTTCAGGTCACAAAGAAGCACTTGTTTAAACACATTTTCAGAGAAAGTCTATTCCCTTCCCACCTCCCACATATATAACAGGGACAAGGCTTCAGAACTATCAGGATAGAAATAACCATTAGGAATATATTAATAATGTACATAGAGAATTACTCTTATCAAAATATCTTACAACTGTACAGTGCTTTGCAGTTTACAAAGCTCTTTTATAGGCATTATTTTATAAATACATCCATCATGAGAAGATAAAATTATTATCTCCATTCTAAAGATAAGAAACCCAAGATCCAGAAAAGTTCAGTGCCTTGCTCAAGGTCAAGTTAGACACTCAGCTAAGTGGCTTAAATTAAGGGACTTAATTTATATATAATTAATTATATTAATATACATTATATGTAATTAACATAATTCAGGACATCCTGTTACTAGTTCATGGTCTCCAAGCTACTATTGGCTAAATCTAGAAATCAAATGAAGCATACAAAAAGGCTTTGCAAAACTAAAAAATACTAGAAGGATTTTATTATGAAGATCATTAATTATTTACAGATGCAGCAGTGAATTACCTAGGCCCGGGCCTTCCCTAAGCAATGCAATCTCTACTGGGGTCTAGGCATTAGGACTTTCAAAATCTGCCCAGGGCAGAAATCTTCTGATCTAAGGTAAATCATACAAATAGCAAGAGAGCTTTAGAAACATGCTTTTTCACTCTTATTCAGTTCTACTTTTATATTGTCCTTTTATACTAATTAGTCATCGCATCTTAATTGGACATGTCGTGTCAAGAGATTAAGAAGCCAAAGTGCTGACTTTAAAGATTTCAGTCTTAACTATAATGAAGGCACACAAATCTGCACAATACTGACAATGTGAAAATATTTTTGTACCATATCATTTTGTAAAACTCTATTTTGTCAAAATTTAGAATATTCAATTAAAAACTATAGCTTTGTACATCTATAATAAATCAATTAAAAATACATAGAAAGTACAGCCTTTAGTTTGTGCTATTAAGAACATTTAAAAATCATAATCTTCAACTGAAGATGACCCAACTATTTTTATCAAATACTACATTTAAGTTGAATTCATTTGAGGAATAGGAAGCTTTAGAGCACTAAACATAATAAATAAAAGTAATATTATGATTGAAGTACTTAAGGGAAAAATTAGATGGCAATTAGCACTGAAAATCATTTTTAAAATACTGAATACTGTCCCAGTCTTACCATTTTGAGACTTTCTGGAGTACATTTGGTCTTATCAAGTACTTTAATGGCCACCTAGAAAACAATAATAAATATTTAAGAATTTTAAGAATTTAGTAACCATGGACTAACATATGGCATTGTTAAAAAGCAAGCAAGCATACAAACTTGAAAATGTGAAACTTAGTTGGTTATAACTAATTGAAACTTTATAAAGATGTACAACTGAAAATTTTAGCTTCATAAAAAAAGTGGCTTCATAACATTTTATATTTATAGACAAAAGTGGAATTATCTCCTTCAAAGTAAAAAAAAAGAAAACAGAAAGAGATATATAATGAAAAGATTTTAAAAAGATATGTAATTTAGCAAATCTTTTCTTCACTATGTACTGACATTTTAATTTTAGCTGACTCTATGATCCTAGGGCAGGAACTATCGCTCTTATAGGTTTACATAGCCCAGAATGCTCCCAGAGTGTATCTCACAGTGAGAGCTTAATAAATACATAAATAGGTTGGTGTTGAATCTGAAAACTTTAAAATCATTTTATTAAAAAAACAAACAAGGCCGGGCGCGGTGGCTCACGCCTGTAATCCTAGCACTCTGGGAGGCCGAGGCGGGCGGATTGCTC